CAGCAGCCGGGGCCCAGCATGGTGAGGCCAAAGGAGGCCAGAGCCTGTGGGGACCTGCCTAGACTTGACCGGTTCATGGGACAGTCACAAAAGACCTTCTGAAGTTCAGTCAACCCAACTAAGCTGTGGCTTAGCTCGTGGAGCCGGCATCACAGGGGTCCCGGAACACAGAGACCTTGAGCTGTCTGAGGACTCTGCCCAGGGCCTCAGAAAACAAGGAGCCAGGTTTGGGATGACACCAAGGATGAACCTTTTAGGAGGTTCCGTTTCCTCCTCTGGAGAATGGAGCAGATAAAAGTAGACAGGTGTGAGTCCCACATGCAGTGCCAACTCCTGTACCGCACACTCTGTCACTGACTCTCTTAATCCTCATAGCAGGCCTACACGGCAGAAACCCTTACCTGCCCATTATGTGTATGTGCATATTGTGTGTACATGTGTGTGCAGGTGCATGCGGAAGGCACAGGTCCATATAGGGTGTTTTCCTCAGTCTCACTCTGCCTTTTTTTTGAGACAGAGTCTCTCACTGACCCTGCTCACTGCTTCGGGTGCACTGGCTGGTCAACAAGCCCCAGGGGTACTCCTGTCTCCGACCCCCAGTGCTGGGGTTACAAACAACACGACCTCACCCAGTATTGATATGGGCACTGGGGATCTGAACTCAGGCCCTCATGCTTGTTCAGAAAGCACTTGATGAACTGAGCCATCTCCACAATCCCAGTCCATTTTACAGTAAAGAAACAAGGCTCAGCGGCTGGAGAGATGGCTCAGCAGTTAAGAGCACTGACTGCTCTTGTAGAGGACCCAAGTTCGATTCCCAGCACCCACATGGTGGTTAACAACCACCGGCAACTCCAGTTCCAGGGGATTCAACACCCTCTTCTGACCTCCTTAGACACTGCATGGCATGGGTACACTTATATACATGCAGGCAAAGTACTCATACACATAAAATAACAAATAATAAATACAATGTTATTTTAAAAAACGAAAAGAAACAAGGCTCAGAGCCTCCAGACCTGCTCCGATTCTTATCCACAGCAAGATTTTTCTCACTGGGTCCTATATTTCGCAGGGCCTAAGCACTTTTAAAACCTCCCAGTGCTAAACTAACATCAGTACTTGCTGTGATTTCTCTATCACTTCCAAAACCTCCACATCTGGTTACAAGACCCCAGATCTTCCCACCAGGACTGGTGTTGATTACAAAGCATAGGATTAGGGCTTTCAAAGAAGGCTGAGGGCCACAAGCAGGAGAGTATCATTTTAATGAAAAAAAATCCTTGATTAATGAAAATGATCCTTAATATATTTCAGAATGATATGTTATGACACAAAGCAAAGACATTTATATACGGCTGTGAAATTCTTAATAGCTGATTCTAGAACAACCTATTATGGAATCTTCCAAAGCTGAATGATACAGTAAATCACTGGGCAAGGCTTCTGGGCCGACTGACTGCGGCTCTTCCTAAAATAATTTAGAAGGTGGGTGGGAGGGGGAGGCGGGAGAATTACCGCCATAAGCATGTGTTAATAAAATATTTATAGACATGGCTTTCCCTCCTAGCCTCCTGGGCATGTCCATGTGAGGGGCAGCCCCTAAATGCACATCGGAGGGGATACACACCTGCCCCAGGAGGGGAGGGAGCTGAATGGAGCCCCCTCACTTCTCACCCACAGGTCAGTGCCTGGGGGGCCCTCAGCCTCATTTCCGATTGGAGGCAAAGTCCATACAGGGTAGACACTGGAAACAGGGCCGCAGTCTGCAGAATCAGTCCTCCTCCTCCCCCTCCTCCCCGCGTCTCCTCCTTCTCCTCCTCTTCCTCCTCCTCCTCCCTCTTTCTCCTCCCCTCTTTCTTCTCTTCCTCCTTCCCTCCCTCCTCCTCCTCCTCTTTCTCCTTTGTAGTCCTGTACAACAGGGTCCAGGGAGGAGTCCTGTTGCATGGCTGCCATTTCCAGATCAAGAACTGAGAGCTGGCTCACTGTCATGTCCTTATGTCCCTCTGCTCCAATCCCATCCGTGTCACCTCATGGGTGTCCCGGACTCTCCCTGTGGGCACTCTGGGCCTCTTTTCTCTGGCTGCAGAAGTATGCTGAGCCCAAAGGCGGGGCTGGCAGGATGGGCTGGGAGCTGGCAACTTCTAACATACAGAAGCAAGAGGGGCTGGGAGCTCCCGCAGCCCCTCCAACTGTGTGGCATTTCCCCCATGGCCTGAACCCCAAGTGCCCAAGGGCCTAACAAGCCTGAGTTCCCTGCCATCCTCCCCTGGTCTCGCCTCCCTACCCCTCTTCCTGAATTTATGGGGGACCCTATCCCAAATACGCACCCTCAAATATTTGTCTCATTGGCCTCCAGGGACCCAGTCTGAACAACAGCCCCTTCTTTATTCTACTGACTGCTTGGATAAGCTCTTCCCTGTGATCCTGGGAAAGGTCAGGGCACTCAGAGTTCTGTTAGGATCTCTGCCTCACTCAGGAGTTGGTGCCTGGTGGTATAGGCCAGACCTCATGGTTCCTTCTGTAAAATGGGTTGTTTCCCCCACACCATCCCCAAGTCACTGCTGTGCCCATTCTGAATTGTGTCTTGCTGTCTCCATCTGCAGTCAAAGCTAGCTGGGGGCTCAGGCTGAGTGTCATCTCCCCAGGGCATAGTCTCCAGCAGAAGGCAGCCTCCCTGCTGTTCAGACCCTGCCCCATCCTGCAGGACTAGGCACAAAGTCAAGGCCATGGGCTCTCTGTGGATGGGGTACAATGAGCCTTGGATGTTTTCGTGTAACTACACCATGCTCTGAGGACCATGACATCACTGGGTGACCTAAAGTGACTGTGTGCCAATAAAGCTTTATAGACAAAGTCATGCAAATCCCATATTTTCTATGTGTCTGCTGTGTTCTGATGTGTGTATGTTTGCACAGGCATGTATGTATGTGTGCACATGTGTGTTATGCATACACATGAATGTGTGTGTATTATTCAAATGCATGTGTATATATGTGTGTGTGCATGCATGTGGGTGTGTGCATGTGTATTTGTGCACATGCATACGTACGTGTGTGCACACATGTGTGTATGCATATATATGTGTGTTGTGCATGTGTGCATGTGTTCATGTGCATTGTATGTGTGAATATGTGTACTTATGTGCATGTGCACATGTGTGTGCACGCTGTTGTGTGCATATGTGTGAATTCATTTCACTGAAATGCACAAACTCCAGTTCTCAGCATTCCCACAGCAGGCAGCTGGCTGAGGTGGCCCTGAGCCATGGGCTGTGACCCCTGGTGTCGCTGAAGGCAGATGCGAAGTAACCCATAGTGGCTTCTACAGGTAACCAGGGCTGAGCAGGAAGAGGTGTATGCCAAGGTTAGAGGTGGGGCAAGAGTCTCGTCCCTGATGTGCAAGACTCAGACCAGCTCCAGGGACCAGGAAGCTGTGGCGAGACGTTCCAGGCCCTGCACAGAAGTGCTCACACACAGCCGAGTGGCCAAGCACAGCTGGCTGAGCTCTGCAAGGTTAGTGTGTCTGTCCTCTCCTTGGACCAGCTGGGAAATCCCACTTTACTTGCCTTGTCCCTACCTCTCCCCCATGTGACTTCTGGAAATTTCACATAGCCAACCTCCACAGGCTCAGATGGGTGTGTCCAAAGAAAGGGACCTGGGACCCACAATTGTGGGATTAAAGACTGGACCTCAGCCTGGGGTGCTGGACAGCAACCAGGGTCCCTAGATCCAGCCAGGGTCCCATATATCATCCAAGGTCCCCGGGCACCCGCCAGGGTCCCCACATACCAGCCAGGGTCCCCAGATTGACCTCAACAAACACACAGGATCATCTGACAAGCAAATTCCAACTCCATGTCTGGGGCCAAAGCAAATCCCTCCCCAGGACAGTCACAGCACAGGATGCCCTGAGCCCCATTCAGTAGGAGCCTCACTGTTTATGAACCCCACCGTCCTCTCAGAACCTCCTACCGTGCCTAGAGAAAGAGTAGAGGAGGTGGGTAGGAAGGTGAGGAGCCCGGAGCACCCGTGTGGAACGTCACTTACAGCAGGTAAGGGTAAGGCCTGGGGGATGCCGGGACGAGAGCAACACAGAGGTCACCAGGAGAGGGGAGTGAAATACTCCTGCAAAGGTCCAAGCAAAAACTCATAAACATGCAAATGCTTGGTGTGAGATGCTGATGGTAAGGATGGCGAAGCCAGAAGAGGCACATGTCACAGAGTGCCTGCAGCGTACAGTGAAGGACTGGGTGGGAGAGGGTGAGGGCAAGAGGGACAGCCGGAGCTGGAGCTCACAGGTGAAAATGGAGACGACAAGGGAGCTGATCTCACAGACCAGAGGTGGAACTCCGCAGGTGCGGTGGGGACAGCACCACCATTAACTGACCAGCCTCTGCCCGCAGCCTAAGGCTGCTCTGCCCAGCACGTAGCCACTGCCAACTTAAAATCATCAAAATGGCATAGATTCAGGGCTTGGGAGGTAGCTCAGTGGTCAAGTGCCTGAAGACCTGAGTTCAATCCCCAGTAACTGGGTAAACAAGCAGGGCCTGGTGGCATGTGTGCATAATCTCATCTCTGTCTCTGGCGAGAATCCCAGAGACAGGAGAATCCCAGCCAGCACAGCCTAATCAGCAAGCTCCAGGCCAGTGAGAGACCCTATCTCAATAGACAAGGCAGATGACACCTGAGGAACAAACCCAAGGGTGACCTCTGGCCTGCGTGCACCCATGAAAACACAATCACATGCAATTCTAAATCTAATCCTTCATCCACAGTGGCTGCCTTTCAAGTTCACTGTGGCCCCATGTGGCTGGTTGCCACTGCCAAAAGCCCTGACCCATTTCCACCTCACCATGCCCAGCTCACAGCCCCCAAACAGCAGCTCCCAAGACCCAAGTAGCAACAGGTAGGGTCTGTCCCTACATCACTGAGAGGCCTGTCTCAGATACCTGCCACAACAGACAGCTGGTGCCCGCCTGCTTGGAAAGAGGGACGTACCTTTGCAGGCCCCCGCCACACCCAGGTGATAGATGGCCGCCAGAACCCTCCAAATGGCCTGCTGCTCGACCTCTGAGATGCCCAGTGTCTCCATGGCACTCCGGAGCTGGGCAAAGGCGGCTGCTGCCCTCTGCTTGTCTTCAGGCTGAGGAAACAGACAGAGAAGAAAAAGAAGCCATCACCATGGAGAGATTAGAATCCACAGCTCTGAGCTGAGGTCAATCTGTGGGCACACAGTCAGTTTATTACCGCAGTAAATTGCCCATGGGTAAGCCAGGCTGGGTTTGGCAGGCACACTAAGACTTCTGGGAAAGTTGTACGAGTCCTTTCTGTCTGGGTTGGGGTGAAAGGTAGTTTGATTCATTCAGGGAAGATTTATTGAGGGTCCACTTTGTGCTGGACTCTGATCTGGGGAATGCCAAGATAAACCAGCCAGGACCTTGATGTTGAAGAAGAGGTAAGATACAGAAAAGCAACAGGGTGTGGGAAACAGGCTGCATAGTAGATTCCAGATCCCCGCTGGGCCATGATGGGAGTTCAGAAAGTAAACAGGGGGAAGCTGACCACTGAGCTGAATAGAAAGCCAAACAGGCAGAGGGAGGCATGGGAGCAAGGAGACACTGGAGGCCACTACAGGTGGCTGACCGACCTGGGACCAGAGGCAGTTATGAGTGGAGGTGAGTCAGACAGGAAAGGAGAGAAGCTAAGGCCGGTGACTCCATTTCCAGGCTCAGGGCAGACATCACTAATCAACCAAGATCATGCCCCAAGCCCGTGAGCCCTGATTCATTTCAAGACAACACCTCTTACCACCACCTTTCACTGAGAAACTGCCAAAGAATTTGAAGCAGGAAAATCAGAAAAATCCAATGAGATGTTCACGGATTATAGAGGGTTTCTCAGATTCATGATTCCAATTACGTTTGATTGAATATTAAAATTAGTCTCAAACTCCTGTGCGCATACCATCTGGCTGAGGACACTCAGCCCAGAAGCCTGTGGGGCTGAGAGGAAGCAAGGCAGGAGCAGAAATTCTTTTGTCGATAACCCAGTAGGCACATAATGACAGACTAATTTGCACCTGACCTTCGCAGAGATTTGGGGTGAGGAAGGGCGACCTGTTAGAGCTGACAAGCCTGTATCCAGAGAGGGCAGGATGTCTGCCCAAGGTCACACAGCAAATTCATCACCAATGTAAGATCAGAAGCAGGCTCCTCTGGCTCCCAATCCAAGCCACCTGCCCTTTCCACTCCAGCCACTTCAGCTAACGGGGAGGCGGGCAAGACGCACAAGTACAATGCCCTCTGCCAAAGCAGACGGTGACCTTGAGAGATTTACAGTGGAAACAGCTCAATTAACAGCAGAAGCGAGTCCCAGGACTCCATCTTATTTCTGGGCCGCCACAGAACCGCAAGGTCCCTAGCAACCCAGAGCTCAGCCTAGCAACTGCAGCTGCCTGGAGCAGACAGAAGGAAGGACCCCGCCTTGGTTATTTATGAGATTTCAAAGTCCAGGAGAAAGGACGCTTAGAGGACAGGACAGAGCATTCTTCGGCTCCCACTGTCAGTGAGGAGCATTTGACGCCAAATAACAGGCTGAGTCCACCACTGGCCAGTGGCGTGAGAGCAGGGGGAAGGTTCTGGTAAGGCTCATTACTTCCTTCTTTCTCCTGCACCCACATCTCTTTGGAAACAGAACACATGAATCAACAAAGAGATATATTCCTGCCCAAAGTGATGAGCTTGGGAAGATGGTTAGAGTTTTACATTTCTAGGAAGCCCAGTGCTTTTTAAGCAACTCTGCATAGTGGCCCAACCAATCTGCTCTTGAGTCAAAATCATGAAAACAGAGTAAGTCAGGCAAGTGTGTCAGTCAGCCCCCAACCAAATGTCTAACAAGAGGAGAAAGAATAAACAGGGGGCAGTGTGCCCAGAGCACAGAGAGGGAACACTACACAGCAATGAAAAGGAACGAACCAGTGATCCAGCTGCTCATATGTATGAGGTGGGGCCACAGCCACAGCCTGACATGGCAGAGTCATCCAGGTGGGACAGAGTTATTCAGCTCTGGCCCATTCTTCTCTGTGTATAAAGCCACTAAGTCCATGATGGGAGCCACCCTCAGGGCATCACTGAGCCTTAAACTCCTCCAAAGGGCCTGCTCCAGGTACCACATGAAGATTGTCTACAACATACATAGAGTGCATTCAGACCACAGCAAGTGTCTTGTGTTAAGTAGTCTGTGTCTGTGAAGTTCTAGAACCGCAAGGTTACAACCAAGGCCTCAGAGGGTGGCTTGGGAGAGTAGAATCCCCCCAGTGAGGACATGGGGTGGAGCTACAGGCAGCTCTGATGGCCTGGCGGGGTGCTCATGTTCCTGAGAGCTGGTCACATGAAAGAGCCATACCTCATGCAAGTTACATTAGATTTCTATTCTTTTAAAGTCAGCGCAAAGAAGAAAACATCAGAATCAGAAGAATTTGCACTCACTTGTCTGATGCAATCGAAGCTTCCAGATCAATCAAAGACTCAAGTGATTTTGCAGAAAAAAAATTAAACCCAAATGTTCTCTTAGCTTTCAGCTGGGCTTGTTTTAATGCACCCAGGAGAGTCCCAGAAGACAGAGATGCTAAGGACAGGCTGCTGGCTGAGGCAGACCAGACTCTGTACTCGTAAGGCGTGACCTGGCACAAGTCCAGGTCCTTGTATGGAGATGGAAATAAGATCAAATGCTGTCCTCTTAAGATCAAATGAGGCACTAAGCACAAAGACCTAGTGAGTACTGGCTCACAGTGGTGTTCAATGCTTGGTGGGTCTCAGAGCACTGCTGCCCACCTCTGGCTTTGCCTAAGTTGTTCCACCTTCCTGCGACACCTTTCCCCACTGCTGTCCAGCACACCATGGAAGGTGACTGACGTCTGGCTCTGCTCTCAAGGGACTGACAAACTATGGAGAGGCCAGGTGCACAGACAGACCAGTGACACAGAGGGCGACAGCCATAGGTGGGAAGCTGCATCACAGCAACAATCGATGCCTCTTGAAAGAAGGGGAGCCGTAAGTCTGAAGGGCAGGAAGCGGAGCCAGGCAGGGGCTATCGAGAGCAGAAGGCTCCGCTCGGAAGGGACATCGGGTCAGATACAGGTGAGTCTGAGCATCAGCACCGCCAAAGCCAGGTGGCTCGCACAGATGATCATGCAGGGTGGGAGCACACACAGATGCGGTGCAGCTGCTTGGAGGGAGCTGGAACTTGGTTACGATGAGTCCAGTGGTGGCCTCGGGCAGATGGAGAAGAGACATGGGAATAAAGCCAGCTCCCATTCCTCCGCAGCGAGGGCTTTCCTTGGACTCTCCAAAGCCCCCCAGCGCCTTAGATCACCACCCACTTCCCCCAGGGCCCCCATCCTCTGCCTCTGGGATTGCTGCACTCTGTCCCCTGGAGCTGCAACCAGTGCCTGAGAAGATTCTGAGACTCAGGACAGCTGCGGGACAGTCACGAGGCACCTTGCAGGGACGTGAACCTCAGGTAGACTGTGCGAGAGGGACAGTTATAGTGAGCCAGGGTCCAAGTTACCAAGAGCCTCCACCCCTCCACTTCCTAGCAGCCCACCTGCCATCTCTGATGGGGACTAAGGACAGACTGTGTCCGTTGAGTGGGTGCTACATCCTGGCAGCACTCTACTCCACCAGCCATGCCACTTAGAATGACAGCCAACTTATAACTTGTGATTTCTTTCCTTCTGGGCTTTTCCACTCAATCCTTTCAAGTCACAGCTGACCACGGGTGACTGAGACATGGATGGAAAAACCCCGAGAAGCAGAGACTGCTGTCCCCGCATGAGACCATGGCCACACAGAGATACTGCATGGCCACAGCTCTCCCACAGGCTCCTTCTCAGCCTCCATCCCACCTCCTGCCCCACCCCAGTTCCCAGGCAGCAATGTTCTTTGCCCCCAAAGACAGTGTGCACTTCTGTGATTCCCATGTGGAATCTAACAACGCCATTCTTTTAAACCCCAGCACTTGTCCCAGTGTGATTATTCTGAGAGCTGTACATGTTCCTGGTTGTAACAGCAGTTCATCCATTTTCATTGCTGAGTAATAGTCCATGGAGGGCTATACCACACTGGTCTTGCCCATTGACCTCATGTTAGAAATGTGGGTACTTTCTGGGTTTGGCCTGCTGCAACTAAAACTGCTTTGGATTTTTGTGTAAAATGTTTAAATGAACATGCGTGCTCATTCTGGGTAAATACTCAGAGCATCCAAAGTATCATGCGAGAGAAATCCATGTAGCTTTTAAAAGTATCTACCAAACTCCTTTCAAACTTGGCTCTGGGATTTTACACTCCCACCAGCAGACTCCACCAGGAACCCTGGGGCAGGGGATGCCTGCCTTCCTCCACTAGACTTAGTGCCTCTGGAGCGCCCCCTGCTGACAGACTCAGGCCCAGTGCGCTAAGACCTCAGAGCACATGCTTAGATACTATCACTATCTTACGGAAGATACAGATGTTCCAAGAGGTTAGGTTCCATCCTGACGTCACATACCTGAGACACGTCAGAGCAGGGGTTAAAGTGAGATACTACACTTTGAGGCACATGCCTGTCCTCTCCCACATACACACACCCACCCCCTTTGCAGGGACAAGTCTCATTTCCCCAACAAACCCAGACCCTACAGAGGCAGCCCCTGCCTCCCCCACATGACCACCACTGCCAACTCTAGATCCAGAGTCAAAGGAGGCAGTGGCCCAGCAGACCCTCCATTAGCTCCCATCTTGTGATGCAGACACACCCTGCTGTGACACTGGCCACTTACTTTGGACCACACGCCCATGCCAAAGGCACTGCTCTCCACTGTCTGGTGCAGATTCAGCTCCGTCCTGGAAGAGACAGAGTTGAAGTGAAGTGGCCGCCAGGCCCGAGACCACAGGGCAGGAGCCATCCCACCGTGGGGCACACACCAGGCTCTGAGCCACACCAAGCCTCTATCTCCAAGGTTTGTCGCATGGCCTCCCCGATTACCCTACATCCTGACCCCACAGCATGCTCCTGAGAACCAGGCCACCCAAAGGAGCATCATAGGTCAAATGAGGGGACAGAGTGGACCTGGGCCTTCCTGTCATCTGGGTGCTTCACACAGGCTCAAGCTGAACAGCACCAGGAATGAGCCTCATCAGCACTGTGCAAGCAGCAGATCGATCTTATTCCCACCTCACAGATGGCCAGAGAAGGACACTGAGAGTCCCAGCTGGCCACACAGAGCTAGGCGGCCCAGAGCTCAGCTGGGGCCTCTCTTCTCAATGAATACTCTCAAGGGGGACCTTGTTCAAGGCCACACAGTGGCCCTGTCACAGGCTCTGGAGAGCAGGGCCTGCAGGTCCCCTCCCTCCAGCTCTGCAGGGCACTGACCCAGAGGGCACTGCCCTGGGCCTCTGCATCCTAGAGCCTGGCAGAACTGCCCACGCTGCCCCACCTCCCTGTGGCTCAAATCACCCCTTTTCTTCTGGTTTCAGTTCTGGGTCCTCTGGCCCCACTCCTGGTTCTCAACCCTGACCCCGACCCCTACCAGGCACCAGGGATCAGAGTGGCAGAGCCAGATTCAAGGGCCACAGAGTCAATCCAGGAGAAAAGAGAACTCCCGCACCTCCCCTGGAACAGCAGGTGTCAGATATGAGGCGTCCCAGGCACAGACTGAGAGCAAAGGAAGACTCAGACAGCACTCCTTACAAAAAGGGAGTGGAATAGATTTTGAAGGGTGACTAAGAGCTCGCAGCAAGTGTGCGTGGGAAACAGGAAGACACTCGCAGGTAGATGTGCCAGTTCTGGTTTCAGGAAGTAGCTGTGCAGCTGAAGGGTGAGCGGCCTGGGAGATCACAGGAACCCGAGGTGACTGTGACCCCCAAGGGTCTGAGTCCCTTCCATTTCTCCACTCTCCTGGGGTTCTTGATGCTCACCTGGGGCCGCCCCATCCCTTTGAAGGCCACTCTACCTCCAAGACGCAGATCACCTAACCAAGACTCACGGACATGGAGGGCACCTTCTGCCCCCAGCCCCATGCCTGGCACACAGGGTGACCCCTCAACTGCTCTCTCTGCAGCAGGCAATGGCTCCAGACGCAAAGCCAAACAGACATGTAGAAGCCTGGGCCCAAGGTCGGATCTAGAGCTAGAGCTAGCCAGGTGGAGCATGCGTGTTCTGGAGTGCCGTGGGAGAAAAGATGTTGGGGACCCGGCAGGGTCACTTCTGCCTGGACCACAGCTGAGAGAGCACAGCCCAAGCTCCATGAGAAATCTTCACTTTGGGCCTCCGGGAAGTTGTCCCTGCTATGTGTCACCCACTGTGCCAGTTGCCTTGACATGTGATGTCGCTTAAGTGCCCAGGGGCACGAGAGGTGCCATTCCACAGAAGAAGAGCCTGAAGCTCAGAGAGGCCCACATGGGGAAAGCCAAGAATAGACTCATGTCCCTCTGCCTGAGCCCATCCTTTCCAGTACACATCTGCCGAGGGGTGGGAGTGGGGGACATCAGGATGGAGCACATCCTCCCAAAACACATCTCTTCACCTTGCTGTGTTTCCCTGTCCTACACACTTAGCCACTCTCTGACCTCTGCACAACCCTCTGAGAGAGGCAGAATCATACCTTTTTTGCAGATGAGCAAAGCAAGGCCCAGAGAAGGAAAGCCACTCGCCTGAGGTCATACAACCCATGCGTGGAGAAGTCAGGACACACCTATGGAGCCTGACCGCTGGCATCCTGACCTCAACACCAAGTCCTAGTACTAAGTCCTTCTGCAGAAGTTTCCTTGCAGCTCAGTTTCTGCTCCTGGAAACTGAGGGTTCCACTCTAGTCTGCCCTAGACTAGAGAGGGTGGGCTCATCACACTAAGTTTGGCCAAGAGCTTAGGGTGAGCTGAGCCTCCGTGCTAACAGGGGAAAGATGGGGGCAGAAGTAGGTGTGGAGCCCTACAGGCTGCAAATCACCAATCACCACACTGTGTCTGGGCAGACTCCCAGGGCTGCACAGACCTTGGCTGATCCATCTGGCCAATGAGGAACTGAGGCTCTGCAGGCCAAGCAACTCTTAGAGCCACCTCCCCGACAGCCTACCAGGACAGGCCTGGACTGAGCACCCAGCCTTCTACCCCATTGTGCTGGATAGCTTTAGAGTCAACTTGACACACCTGGGTTGAGGGAGCCTCAGTCGGGGAATTGTCTCTATTGGACTGGCCTGTGGCCATGTCTGAGGGGCATCTTCTTGATGAGTGATGTGGGAGGGCCCAGCCCACTGTGGGTGGTGCCGCCCCTGGGCAGGTGGGCCTGTGTTGCATAAGAAAGGGGGCTGAGCAGGAGCGGGGGGAGCAAACCAGTAAGCAGCATTCCTCCATGGCCTGTACTCCAGCTCCTGCCTCCAGGTTCCTGCCCTGAGTTCCTACCTTGGGCTCCTGGATGAACTGTGACCCAGGAGATGTAAGCTGAATAAACTCTTTCCTCCCCAAGTTGGTATTGGTCAGAGTGTTTTGTCACAGCAATGAAGAAACAAACTAAGACACCCATCTATCCAATATACCCATGGGGGCACATCCCCTGTGCACTCAAGTTTCCCACAAAGTTGAGAAGCTTCTAGAATATGAAGAGTTTTTTCTTGCAGTGCCTTCAGGCCAGTGCCAAGATATCACTGTCACAGGCAGCTCCCTCCCCTCCCCGGTTTTCACACAGAGCTGAATGTGCATTCTCACAGTTCTGTGAGGTCAATTTAGGTACTGTTTTCCACTTCTCAGAGGAAGAGACTGAGGCTCAGAAAAAAACATGCGAACAAGGTCACTCAGCCCTCGTGCAGTGCACAGCCTGGGCAGCTGCAATCGGTGGCCGTGGTCTTCACCACTGGGGAACTAGCCTCTCGGCTCTGGTAGAAGCCCAGGTCAGCCCCTAGAGAGTGACTCCCCTCTGTTACACTGGCCTCAGTTTCCCCAGCCTGTCCCCAGTGCTTACCTGAGATCCAAGTCCAGCCCAGCCAGCATCTGGGAAAAAATTTCAAAGTTCCCTTCTCCTTCCGGCTGCCGGGCCACGTGGCTGTTCTCCAAAAGCACTGTCTACAGAGGACGAGATGGGCATCTGTCACCACAGGTCCCCACACTCCCTGAGGCCTCACCACAGGGCCAACCTCACCTGAACCCCAGGTTCAGAGCCCACCAGTCGGTCAGTCAGTCAGGCCACAGGGTCTTCCATAAGAGGCAGTGACAGCCCAAGAGGGCTTCCCTGGGCATCAGCCCTCAAGGAAGCCTGCCACCTAAGGGTGCCCCAGGACAGCAGAGCAAAGGGACTTAACAGGCACTAAAGAGCCAGCTCTCTGAGCTGGGATGTCACCAGGTGCCATGCACCAACACCCCTTCTGAAACCCTAATCTCATTTTCTGTCCAAATGGAATTTGAGGGGACTGAATTGGAGATGGGGACAAACAGACCACGTGCTATCACACAGGCCACAGAAGGCTCTGGGCACCTGCTGAATTTCAGTTAGCACTTTTCAGACTGGCCAGTGAGTGCCTGGGTTCTGTTTAGATTATTACACTCTGCTCCCACAGGGACATCTGGTGATGCTGTACTGCATGGGACCCTTGTTACCACCCATCTAGATACATCCCAGGGTCCCCATTGAAGGAGTGGATACAGCAGTGTGGAGTTGGGAATACCACACCCCCAGGAGCCCCAGCCATCCCCAGAGGCCTCACCTGGAGCTGAGCAGCTGTGACGCGACCTGTGGCGTTGAAGTCTAGGGACATCACCATGGCAAAGCGGGTGGCACTGCGACTGTGGCCGGTGGACACAGAGCCGAAAGCCCGGAGGATGGTGAAGGTGGCCTGGAGCTTCTCCACTGTCAGGGGACCAGGACGGTTGTCACTCATGCCTAGAGTGGGGTACCTTCCCCAAGTCCCCTTTCTGGTCTCAGTCCCAGCTCAGCTCTGAATCACACACCCTCAAGGGAGCCCCACCCTGTGTGACAAGCATAGACCTGTCCTGGCTAGGATAAGACAACTTGAGTGATGGGCGCATGGTGTTCCAAAATCCCTTCTAAGGTCCTGGTAATGCCTGTGGGTCACAGTAGGCCTGAGAGCCCTGGAGTCTCTCCAGAAATGCTAAGTACCCACAATGCCCTGCATGCTGTACTAAGCACCTGGATACAGTATATCCTGATTCCCAAATTCACAGACTCAGCAGAACCATTCTGTGAGGGTGAGGTCTGTAGGGGCAGAGTCTGTGAGGGTAGAGATTGTGAGGGCAGAGTCTAGATCTCTCCCACCAGTATCCCCAGCTTCTGGTGGTGACAGAATGAGTCTTCTATGCAGGGCTGTCATGAGGGCTGATTGATTTAACAATGCACAGTGCTTCCTACAGAAGGCAGTGGTGGTGGAACAGTCATTGCCACCAGGATGCAACATTGTCTGGACCGTGGGTCCTAGGGGAGGTGTCCCCAGTGTGAGCAAACACCTATCCTGTAGAACACATACACACACACACACACACACACACACACACACACACACACAGAAGAGAAAGAGAGAGAAAGCTCTGGGACAGGTTTTCTGCGTGGCCTTTAGTAAACTAGTAAACCTTTCTGATGCTCAATGACATAGTGTGCTGGATAGCTTTAGTGTCAACTTGACACACCTGGGTCGAGGAAGCCTCAATCAGGGAATTGCCTCTATTGGACGGGCCTGTGGCCATGTCTGAGGGGCATCTTCTTGATGAGTGATGTGGGAGGGCCCAGCCCACTGTGGGTGGTGCCACCCCTGGGCAGGTGGGCCTGTGTTGCATAAGAAAGCAGGCTGGGAGGGGGCCAAGGGAGCAAGCCTGTAAGCAGCGTTTCTCCATGGCCTGTGCTCCAGCTCCTGCCTCCAGGTTCCTGCCCTGAGTTCCTACCTTGGGCTCCCTGATGAACTGCAACCTGGGAGTTGTAAGACAAATAAACCCTTTCCTCCCCAAGTTGGTATTGGTCAGAGTGTTTTGTCACAGCAATGAAGAACAAACTAAGTCACATAGGCAGTAAAATTCAAATGTTAATAGCTGTGCCCAGGCCTGTTCAAAATTATAAGGTTCTTATGCTTGGAAGAGGACCTGGCATGTAAGTCTGAGGAAATACCACCCTGATGGTTGCGAATGTTGGGATCATCATCATTATTGTTGTTGTTGTTGACTAGTGTTCTACGAGGCACAGCTCAAACACCCCTTCCATGATGCCCCAACCCACTCCTGTGTGCTTGTCTGCCTAACCAGCACTGGTAGCACCCTCTGAAGAACATTCTAGCCTTCTGTAGCTCCATCTCCCTCTGGCCCTCAGTCCCTATTAACCCTTGCTCTGTCTTCCTGTCTTTGTTTTCTGTATCCTCTGTGCAATCCAGCAGGTCATGCACTGCACAAGGATGCGGCAGCCAATGGGTGCACGGTTCCCCAGATGCCAGATTGGTCTGAGCACCTGTCGGGAAGCCTCTGGGCCTAATCCTGCTGGCCTGCATGATTGTTCTGCAATGGCCACTGATATCTTAAGAGAGGAGAGCCTTCATCTGATTGCAGCAGAGCTGTCCAGTGGAGCTGCTGGCCTGGGTCAGCAGTCAGCACCGGCCTGCACCTGTCTGTGCTCAGCGAGTGGAGCTGAGTGGAAGTAAGGAAGAGCTGCCCAGCACGCCCCCTCCAGCTCCATCTTCCTCTCCCACCCCTCTGTCGGCTGGAGACCACCATACCTGACACACTGCCATCCACACTGCCTGCCATGCCTACTAGGTGCTCCAGGACCTGCTGGCAGCAGGTGGTCTTCCCAGCACCACTTCGGCCCAATGCCACGATGCTCTGGTCTCTCCGCTGGCTCAGCAGTGCCCAGTAGGTCCGCTGAGCCAGGCCCAAGACGTGTGCAGGCAGACCGTCCTGGCAGCCCCAGGGTACCTGCTGGAAGATGACCAGCATCAGACTTCCTGCCCAGCCTGCAAGTGTCATACCTTCACTGGGAGTCCTGGGCAGCCAATGAGCTACTTAGAGGCTTAACCCAGAGTTTTAGCCTGTGGAGGTGCACATTCGCTACTCAAAACATTGGACAGTATTTGCCTGAAATAAAGTAGCTGGATAAATTGACATGATTAGTGATGTCTGCTGTGAAAATAGAATGGCAGTCATTAGTGATGTCTGCCATGGAAACAGAATGGCAATTGATTAGTGATGTCTGCCATGGAAACAATGCTGGTTGATTAGTTATGTCTGCCACAGAAATAGAATCAATGGCAATGGATTGTGACTTTTGCCTGGAAATGGAATACCAATTGATTGAAAATGTCCACTATGGAAAGAATGGTATGTGGGGAATTGGTGGTATGTGTACTATGCATTTGCCATGACAGATTTAGATTATGTCTTAGCGCCCATGGATTTTGTCCATTCCTAACTCAGTAAAAACAACCATTAGATTTGCATGTGGTAGGTGCTGTCCCAGACACAGGGGCTCAATCCTACACAAAATGGGAAAAGAAAATCTCTGACAACCACAAAGAGCTACTTTGTGTATCAACTTGTGATCGTGCGGGTATGGGTGCATTGTGGGTGCATTGTGGATGTGTGTGAAGGCACAGGCCCTTTTGTCTGAGACAGCGTTTGTCCTGGATGGAACTTCTCCACAAGGGTGAGGACTGGGAGCTTCCCGGGATCTGCCTGTCTCTGCCTCCCATCTTGCCATCCCTGGGATTACAGATTTACTGGGGTGGGGGGGGGAAGATCAGAGAATAACTCTGAGGGATTCTGGGGATGGAACTCCTATCTCCAGGCTTGTTGGCAGGCACCTTTATCCACAGAGCCACCTCTCGTGCCCCAAAGAAATCAGTTTTTGAACAGTCACTGTGGGTTCTCAAACAGCACAGCAGGTGCTGCACGAGGCCGTCACCCCCAGAGCATGGTCTGGCGCTCCCCACACAGGAAGATGGGCATTCATCACATGGCCACACCAACACTCCAGGTACATGCCCAGAAAAAAAGAAAGATCCCGTGTGTCTCTGGTATACTGAACACAGAAAGCACCCCAGCCTGGAGCACCCCAGGTCCCTCTGGACACTGCACAGAGATACCAAGAGTCTCTGGGTTGCACGGCACATCTCAGGTCCCAGAAAACACCTCAAACTCAGGGAAGCCAGTCCAGTAGGTCACCCTCCAAATAGGCCACCAAACTGGTGCACCCTACTGCTAAATACAGGGTGCACAGCAGATAAAGACATCCAGGCAGGTTTCCTCATGCAGATCCAGGGCTGCTTGGGGGTACTTGGGAGTGGGGATAACAACTCCAGACTATCATCTGGAGCTGAGCTCTCAGAGCCAGGGGCTAGATTGCTCTCCAGGTGAGGGACTACTTTGTAATGGACTGTGGAGAGTTCTGCATGGTCGAATACCTCACGCAAAACTTTACACAAGTGTTCTACAGAAGGGGATAGAGGCTGTAAAGATGACCCAAGGGTTAAGAGCATTGGCTGTTCTTGCAGAGGACCTGGGTTCGATTCCCAGCACCCACATGACAGCTAACAACAGTCTATAATTCCAATGCCAGTGGATCTGACACCCTCTTCTGACTTCTGCAGGGATTGTACAACATGTGTGCACCCACATACATGTAGGCAATACATCATACACATAAAATAAAGTAATAATAATAAATGAAATATTTTGAAAGAAAGGTCGATGAAACTGTGTGCTGCTAGACCTCAACATACCCAACTTTAAAGAGACAAAGAGCTGAGGGTGGAGGTTCAGGCCTACAATCACAGCTACTCAAGAGTCTGCGGCAGGAGGATGGCAAGTCAGGGCCTACCTGGGCTATGCAGTGAGTTCCCAACCAGCCAGGACAACCTAGTGAGACCATCTCAGAATTTTAGAAAAGCGTGCTGGCGGTGTGGCTCAGTGGTAGAGCACTTGCCTAGCATGTGAGAGGCCCTGGGTTCAATCCCCACCATGATGAGAGAAGAAAGACAGAAAAGAAAGGGTCTCTGGTGGAGGGTGGTAAACAAGAAGACACTACAAAGGCCCAGAGCCAGCCCAGAGGCCAAAGGCCAATGGGAAGAGCAAAAGAGGGACCCTGGAGCCCAGGAAGGAGGTGGGGCAGCCTCCTCCATGCAGCCCAGGTTCAAGGAAGCAAAGACCAGAAGAGCAGCCCTGACCTTGCAGAGCCTGGGAGAGGACACAGGGGAGGCCCAGGCACATGGGGGCCCTAGAAGGAGCAGGAGGTGGAGGCCTGAAGCCTGAGGCCCTGTGGTGACTACTGGGTCAGCATGGCCCTGTCTCCCCTTCTCTGAAGCTTGGGAAGACCACAGCACATCCCCAGGGGCCCTCCTCCCAGCACAGACCTCCAGCACTCCACTGTCAGCCTTCCCTGCTCCAAGCTACCAAGACCCTGCATGCCACAGGATCTTAAAGCAGGCCCATGGGACAAGCTCTGCCCTGGTTGCACACAGCCTCAGAATCTGAGGTGTGCAAAGGTCCTGGGGTTTTAACTTGGAGCTGCCTGCCACCCTAGAAAATCTCAAGTTCACGGGTCAGGCTGTTCAGTTCCTAGGCCCCTTCCATCTATCCTGTGGAGAAAGGATGGAGCAGATTCTGCATCCATGTGCAACCACAGGCTCACACAGGATGCCCTTGGCTCCTTGAAGTAGCCACGATCAAGAAGCCTCACCCCACAGACTGCACCTTGGACACTTCAACACAGTCCACTCCCATGAGAGCCCCCAGCTGCAGCCAAGGCTACCCAGCCTAGCCTCAGGTTTCCAGTCCCAGGTCACAGCAGACCTGTGCCCCACCTGGTGGCTCTCTGGGAGCCAGAGGTTGACTTGGTTAAAGGCTAGTTAAGATAAGACTCAGGAGGCAGCAGACTGGCAGGAAGGTGAGGCCCAGTGACCACCCCAGGAAGAGCCAGGGCAGTGCCACTCAGATCCTCTCTTCAGGTGGGCCCAGTGCCTGCGCGTCCAAGCGATGATGCCTGGTGTCAGAAGAAGAGCTGGAGTAGGTACTGCCTCCTCTGATGGAGGACGGATGCAGGAGCAGCATCGTTCTGGAGCCGAGAACTGTGTCGCCCCATGTAACTCCAGTGAGCATAATTTTTCAGCCCCCACCAGCTTCTTCCACTCCCACCATTGTCAACACGCGTGCACTCTGGCCACTGTGGTCCTCACCGTCTGAGCCTGTCTTTCCTCCCTAGAAACTCAGGAGGGCAACATGGTGGTGGGCCACTATTTCTTCAGGACCAATCACCAAGCAAGCTTCTCAGAATCCAGTGAAGGGGGTAGGAGGTGCAATTCCATACTTTCCCACAAGGTGGCGCATCAAACCTTTGTTTTTCGTTCCCATCCTGCCCGAAAATGCCCTTTTCTCCACTTCACAAAGGAGTATTAAAGGAAGCGGGGATTCTGAGTGCAGGTTCAGAACCCCAGAGAATCCAACTCAGTGTCACTAGCTCAAAGGAGTCACGGCCCTGGTGTTTGGCCCAGATCCCCTGCTTTTTAAACCCAAGAGGGCACCCAGTTCCACCTGCCCACAGGGGTGAGTGTCTGAAATGGGCTCACAAGGGCCTGGATTTCCGGGTGGGTGAGAGCTGAGTCCATGCGCCAAGGTGTTTGAAGGCACTCGGGCTTATGGCCAGGGCTGACCTTTCTCCCCTGTAGGGAGCAGGGGATCCATAGCCCCCAGTGCCCCTGAGCCCAAGGTTCTCACCCTGAGTGGGCAGGGCAGAGGGTTTCTGGAGCGCTGAAGGCTCTGACCTGCGGGGAGAGGAAGCTTCTGCCCTCCCTACCCCCACTTTGGTCCCACTTCACCTTCCCTGCAGAGGGCGCTGAGGGTGCTGGGGACTGCAGGACAATCAGATCCGGCCCAGAGCAGGTGTGCGGCAGCTGAGCCCGGTAACGCTGCAGAAGTGTGTTCAGGACGCTGGACTCGTTGACACTGACCAGAGCAGCCAGGTTCTCTGCCAGGTCCAGCTCAGGGGCGTTGGCCTGTGGATGTCAAATGGGATCTCCTCTGACTTCGTCAGCCCCCATCCCACCAATGCTGCCATGCACACTCATGGCTACATGCATGCACACACATGCATGCACACATGTGCACATAGCCCTGCACTTATGCATGTGCATGCACACATGTGCAAATGCCTAGACACACTTGTGCACAAATGTATATGTGCATGTGTGCTCACACATGCATAACCACATACATTCATACAGATATATGCACACATGTGCATGCACCTAATACATCTGCACACATATGTACACGCATATGTGTACTCATGTGTGCTCAGTGATGCATGCACATGCAGGAATGCACATATGTGCACACACACCATCACTCATACATGTGTATGCAAACACCTAAACACAACCAGCATGTATACAAGTGCATGCAAAACTGTACATTCCATCCACACATGTGCACACACATTCACATATAGCTGCACACATGTGTATGCACACATGTGCATGCATAAAGGGTGGTCCTGTCATTTGAATGCCAGGCACTGAAGGCCAGAGCACACAGACACAGGAGGAGAGGTAGGGGGTCCCTGAGGAGGGCCAGCCCCTCTCCTGGCCCCTCTGTGTCCTGAGAACCCTCCTTGCTCGGGCCCCTCATTCACTAATTCACTGCCCTACGAGGCCAATCCCCCTAAGATGGGCCCGATAAAACCTGGAGACACTGGGTGGTGTTTCTGATGGATGCAGATTCCTTGCTAGTCTCTGCTTCTCCGGGTCTTAGAGGGAAGTTCTGGAATGCCCTGTGACCTCCAGGAACAGAAGTCAGTGGCCAATTCACTTCCTTTATCTGACAGCCCATTGTGCCTTGATCCCTTGAAGATAGACACAACCCCCTGAGAGAAAAGGTAATGCCAAAAATACAGGCCATCGGAAGTCTATGCTACAGTGAATGGCTAATCACAAATCTGAGTTTCCTATCATCCAGGGTGAAAAAGGAAGGACGCTCTGTAGCATGGTTTGCACAAAATGAAGAGCAATCTCTTGCTTGGATTGGCCAGAATCCAAGTGACAGGACTTGACAAACCTGGCCCCGTAAAGAGGAGGCTAGAGGAATGGCCCTGCAATGGAGTCTGACCCACAGAGCAATGTGTTCAGTGGGGTTTCCTACAATCCTTGGGGCTCCGTGTGTATTTACAGTCAGAGGCAAGGGAATGTCTTGTGGGTGGGGACAGGGTGCAGGGCAGGTGGTGGGGTGACTTACACAATGAATGTGTTCCTCGTCCACCTCTGTGACAGTTCTGTCAGCATCAATGCAGAGCCGCACCCTTCCTGCTGGCAGGTCAGCTGTCCCCTCATCTGGTTTGAGCACCGTTGCTGGGTGGATAGCCAGAAACACCAGTGGGAAGGGAGAGAAGGGGATGGGAGAGGAGAGGAGACTCTGAGCCAGGCCAGGAAGCTGGAGACAGGCTTGGGACAGGTTGAAAGGAGCCACATCCTCTCCCTTAGGGGTCTGTTCGTTCATATAAAGGGTCTCAACTGTAACCCAGAAGCCCTTCAGGGACAGAGATTGAGTCAGAGTTCCAGGTACTGAGCAGGACCCTCAGAGGGTCTGGGTGAGTCCCATCCCACACCTAGACCAGGACAAGGAAATGACAATTTACAGACAATTCCCCTTCCAGTACCATGACAGACATAACTAATCGATTGCTCTTCCCAATCATGTTTTGCCTGGTTCCTCCCCTAGATTCACTTCTTAATAGAAGCCAACAGCCTCACCTAGCCAATAAACATGAGCCCCGGAGATGGAATCTCTGCCACTTGCTCTGCACTCTTAGATCCAGACAGTTCTGGGACCTTGTTATTTATGTGTGTTCCATTAAAGAACTGGTTCTGTCTTTCTTGAGATTCAGATGCCTTTGAAAGTAGCACCTAGTGGAGCAGCTACAGGCGCCACCTTCATCTGGGCAACATCAAGACCCGTCACAGGGACAGTGACATGAGGGAGGAATGAGGGGAGCAGAGTGGGACCCCAGGGCAGGGCTGAGCCCTGATTACCAAGATCAAAGCCGTCCTTCCTCACCAGCCAGACCTTCTCCGCCTCGTACCACCTGTCCTCGGGAGCCTGGGAGCAAAGAGAGTCACCTAACCAGCAAGCGACACCAGCGTGTGGGAACCCCAGGGTGGGAGGCGTGACAAGCAATTATTAAATGCCCAGGCCCTTGACTTCCAAGTGGGAGTCTCGGGCACCAAAACAACTCGCAAACCTGCCTGTGTAGTCTTAGTGCCACCTCAGAGAATTACGGAAGACAACGGTACGTTCCCTAGGCGGCATCAGGAGGGGACTCTCAAGTTCTGAGAACTTCTTGTCACCCAGGAGAGACAGGAGTCTCGCTCATCAGAGAAGTGCTCACATGGCCTGCTAGTGTGCTGGGATCTGGTTGCTCCTCTGTCCACCCTTGGCCTCCCCTGAGACAGTTCTTACCCCTGGTGCTCCAGGGCCCACAGCACCTCACCTGGTCAGAGTCTGTCTGTCCCTCTCTGCCCATCTCTTGCAGAATCGCCTCCTCGCTGGGCCTCTGTGTGGGAGGCCTTTCCTCTTGGGCCTCAGGAGCAGGCCCTACATGATCCTCTTGCTGTGGCTCTGGGGTATCCATTCCTTCCTCTCTATGCACACAGGGCTCCAGGGCTCCCTGGACCCTGCTTTTTAGCCGGTCCTCCCTCTCCACAGCATCTCTAGCCACCTCCTCTGGAACCTTGCCTCCCTTCTCGGAACTCTGAGCCTCTCCTGCCACCCCAGGCTGTTCCTGAGACTTCCCCAGTGTTGGTGGCTTCCTCTGAGCTCCCCTTACCTCCCCAGCAGACTGGGGTACCCCTGCCTGCTCCACCTTCCCCAGAACCTCCTGCCCCTGCACCCTGAGCACTGCTGGCTGCCCAAGGTTCCTGTCCTCCACCGTGGCCTGCACGTCTCCCAACTTTTCCACCCTACGTGACAACTCGCTTTCTTCGCTCCTGCCCTGGGGACCCTCCCCCGTGCTCCTTCTGCCCAGGGAACCTCCCCACTTTCTTACAGGGACTGGGGGCTCAGTGCGTCTTGTTTCAGCCCCTGCAGCTTTGGACCGATCCCCCTTTTCTTTCTTGTTTGGGGGACCCCTTCCCTCTTTCTCTGCTGTCCCCAGTTGCCCCTCTTCTCCTGCCCTCTGGGCTTGGGACCTGGTTGCCAACTCCTTTGTGCTCTGGGGCTCAGTCCCTTGCTGTCCTTTGGTCTGGGGACCCTGGCTCCCCTTCCCCTCTGTGCCCTGAAGTTTCCCACCTTTTGTGGCCTGACTTGAGTCTCCAATACCCCTAGTCCCAATCTTCCCAGGTGCAGAGGCCAAATCCTCAGTGTTGGCCTGGGGGCCACAGGCAGTCCCCTCACCGCCCCCTTTCTTTGAGCCTCCAGGATCTGTGGCTGGAGCTGGGGTCTTGCCCGTGGAGGTGTCATGGGATTGGGCCTTCTGCTCTGGCTTGGCCGACTCTGGATCCAGCTTGGCCACCATGAGCAGCACGTCGCCTCTCCTCACACCCCTCTTGAAGGGCGGCATCCTTTTGGCTGGTGTCCCTGTGGGACCCGGCTCATGCAGCCTTTCCCCACTGGTGCTCGTCATTGGCAAAGGGTCCTTGTCACCAGTTCCCAGGGGCTCCTTGCCCAGAATGTCAGCACTCTGTGGGGAGGTGGGGAGGCTGTCCTGGGAGGTCCGCTGGCTTCCAGGCTTGGGGCCACTGTTGGGCTTGTCGAGTTGACTGGTGGAAATTTCTGGGGTCTAGGAAAGAGATCACAAGATGCTTTGCTGCCGTTTATTCTCATCCACCCAAAGACACTCAAGTGCCTCCCAGAGCCTACAGGCTCTGTGTTTGGCAATGAACCTCAGCCCAGAGCCTGAGGGACAAGGAACAGAGGGGAAGGAGGGTGGGCTTGGCAACCCAACAGAACCCAGTTCAACTCCCGCCTCTGCCGCTTCTTGCTGTATGGCCTTGCAAATTGCTTCCCCTCTCTGAGCCAGATTCTTAATCAATAACACAAAGAGCATAAAAGTATGCTTTGCAGGGTGGATGTGAGGATGGCTGATGGGCTGATGGCAGACAGGAGGAGAGCCCGGCACATAGTCTTCAGAAGCTGCTGCTATTATTGCTGTTTCTGCCTCACTCCTGCTGATGAACCCATCTTCAGACACCTTGTCCTCACCTTGGCTCAGATGTTGGATGGGTGTGGCCAGCATCGTCTATCCTTCCTGACTTTTGGTTCCCCCTCCATACAGACAGAAGCCACCCAGCCATCCAGATGTTTACAAGATCATCCTGGAAAGGCCCCTGGAAAGGCCCCTGGAACCACAGAGGCAGTAACAAGGGGAGAGCCTGCCTTTCACCACCCTAATCCCCAAACCCACTGTCCACTTCAGCCAACCTCCCAAACAGCTCTGGCCCATCAGCTGCCTGTCATTTGAAAGGGGACCAGAATTTGGTGGGCACCCCCAGCCTATAGGAAAGGAATCAACACCCCCTCAATGAGGCTCCTCCAAACTCGACCTGGTCTGACTCTCCCTGTTTGCCCACTCTGGACACACCACACTGGGCTTCTCCTAGCCCGTCAGTCCTTCCCTGCACACTCCTGCTTGCTTGGTGCTGAGCCTGATGCCCAGCACACCCTCTCTCCCTGCTCCTCACTCCCCTTCCACAGGCTCCTCTGTTTTCTATACCGAGCTCAACTGCCTCCCCACCTTTCCCGGGGCCTACAGTGAGAATCTGGCATGTCCCCAGAGGTCCTGAGCCTGACTCTGCTTGTAAGATACCTGTTCTGTCCTGTGAAGTCCCTGAACCTGACTCTAGTGTCCCCATCACAGCAGTGACGACACCCACACTGTGCTCCAACATCTATCCATGGCTCTCTCTTAGGGTTGGAAGAGAAAGCCCCGTCTCCCTACCGTCTCTGTAGTGAAGGTAATAACCTTCCCAATGGGCCTCAAGTCATCATGAAACTCCACTCACTGAGACTGTTATGAACCCCAAGAGGCAGGTTCTGAACTGCACCCCATTCTGCAGGTAAGAATTCCGTTACAAAGGTGTCAGTGGTCCTAGGGACAGCTGAAATGCAACCACAGCACCAAGTGTCAACGCCTGAATGTGATATGCCCACCCTCAAGGGCTCTTTGGAGTCTCTCTGGTACCCATGTAAAAAGTTGGGCATGGTGGCGGGTACACTGGGGAGGATGAGGCACGAGGATCCCTGGGGCACAAGGGCCAACCAGTCTAGCCAAATCAGTGAGTTCCAGGTCCAGCAAAAAATAGAGAGTGATTGAACCTCCAGCCTCCAGCTGTGTGCATATGTGCATCTATACACTAACACAACACACACATACACACACATGCTTGCACACACATACACATGCACACATACACACACATGCACATTCATACATACATGCAGACACATGAACACATACACACTAACATATACCCATGAACACATACATATGCATATAGACACATGCACACACACATACACATATGGATACATAGATGCACACACACATATGAACATGTACATGCACACATACATATGCCTATACACATACATGCACATACACACACAGCCATACACATGCACACATACACACATGTACCCACACACATATACACAAACACATACACATACTCATGCACAGCCATATACAGGCATACACACATGCACACATACACACATGTACCCACACACATATACACAAACACATACACATACTCATGCACAGCCATATACATGCATACACACATGCACACACACCCTCCCACAAACATATACATACATTTAGTCACAGGCATATACTCATACACACAGGTACATAAAAACAGAACACATACATACACACACACCATGCACATGCACACACATGTACACACACACATGCCTGGGTGCCTTGGCCCCACTTCCAGAGATCTCAAAGTGGCTAGTCTAGGTTGTGGCTCCCGGTGGCTGGAACCCATAACCAGAGCTGAGAATCACAGAGCTCTGGTGTCCAAAGCCCAGTGGCTCATTCTGGCCCTCTGGGGTCATCGGGACACAGCCTCAGGAGGGGTTGACTGATGGCAGGTCTCACACTCCTTTGAAAAGTGAGTCAGAAGTTTATTTTAACCAACTTCTTGGAGGGGACAGTACCATGGAGCTACTCCAAACAAGACAGCCAGCTGCAGCTACCCTGTGGGGTGTGTGCCTTTGACTGTGATGAAAGGCTTTGGTCCCCTCTGCACTTGCAGGGCACAGAATTCTCTCAATCCCCTGGGGCCCCCAGGGCTGGCACAGCACATCTGTTTACAAACAGGAAACTGAGATGAAGGCCAAGAGCCAGAGGGATCTGGCACAGGTGATTGGCAGAACTGGAAGCCACAGCCCCTGGCTTCCCATATGACTCCCCTCTACCCATAGAGTCTTCTGGCCTCTTGCTCTCCTTTAGGAAAACCAGGTCTCCTAGGAGCCCACGTGCATTCCTGAAGAACAGGTGGATTCTGTGGCTCCTTGCCATGCTGAGGATTGGATGGGGTGGTGTGGGGCAAGGAGGGTTATTTTTTGACCAGGACAAGAAAATCCAGTAGGCGAAAGCCAGGCAGGATCGCTGCCTGGCAGGAACATATTCCGGGGCTCCATCGCTCCAGGAACATTTTGACCTATAGTGAGGTCACCTGCTGTGGCCCAAGGCCTGTCTTGTCCCTGTTCAGTGCTCAGAGCCACTTCTTGGCTTCCTCACAGTCATGCAGGGTATAGCTACATCCCATGGAGCCATTTCCTCCCCAGGTCAATGACCACACGCTGACCACCTCACTCACCAGACCAGTCTCTCTCCAGACAGTTCCAGAGAGCTCTGCCCTTATCTGGCCTCATGACCTTGGGCAAGTCTCTTGGCCTCTCTGGACTCCTAAATGGGTCTGACCCCCCGACCCCCCCGGCACTTGGCATCCCAAATGAGCCCACAGGTGCTGAGGGAGTGTTGCCCAGTGAAGACGGGGACATCTACCCGCAGGGTCTGCTGTGGCTTCATGTCTGCCTCAACTGCCCCTATCATTCTACCCCACAAGACTCGGCCTCTGTCTTCACAGCTGCTGCTGCTCAGTTGTGCGGGATTTGCTGACACAGCAAAGCCATTGTATTGGACAGGTGTAGGCACATGTGGATGGGCAAATGATCTGAAGAGGAGGGGGATGAGCCAGGATGACCCTAAGGACTCAGGTGGACATCTGGCTCTGCAGTCCCTGGTCCTTGCAGCCCAGCCCTGGCAGCACTCACCCCCTCCAGGGGTTGCAAGAGAGGTACCAGGCACTGACATCCTTTCTGCCTAATGCCTAACGCAAGGATACACCCAGGGTGGACTACTCTCCAAGCCTGCCTCCCTGGTGTCTAGCCTTGGCATCCTGCCCAGTGGATTAGCTATACAACTGAGCCAGCATCTAGTTTTTTCTTTCTGTAAACACAGGGGTCAAATGATCCCCGCTTATCATATGCCAGCTGTTATCATTCATTCATTCAACAAACATCTGTTGAACATTCATTATGGGCCAAGTACTGAGACAGAGACATGCAGCTGTTGATGCTTGCACAGGAGAGCAAAACGTGGAAAGGAAAAGCAGGGGCAGTGGGATCAAAGATATAGGGCATGTGACCCAGAGGACAGGTGTGCACAGAGGCACTGTCCTTTCCCCACAGCTACTCACCTCTCGCTCTGGGGAGGCCAGCGCTGCCTCTTTCCTCCGTCTGGCTTCTTTGGACTCTTTCTCTGTCTCTCGAACTAATTGCTTGATGAAACCCCCCGGGATGACAGAGAACAGAGGAGGGGGCGAGGACGGGGGAGGGCTCTTGTCCTCCTCCCGGATCTGTGTGAAGAATCAAGGAGAAAGCCAAGTGAGCGAGTCTGCAGAGGAGGGTCACCCTCCAGACTAGCTCTGATGCTCTGGGAGGGGTCCCAGGGCCAGCATGACCACATGAGAAGAAAGTGAGCCCACTCCTCGGGACCCTGGGAGCCCCAGACAGTGTGGGAAAATGGGATGGGTGGACTGTGAGCAACAGAGGCTATGGGAGCCAGCATAATGTCTTCCTGAACAGTCTCCTCCTGAGAGGAACTTGGATCGCCAAAGCCTCAGGGTCCTCTTAGCCTGGGACAGACCCATCTTGGAGAGGACCCACTTTTAAGCAATTTCTCAGATGTCCAGGGGCGATGGACCACAAGGGGCCATGCCTCTTGGGCTCCCCTACCCTACCACTCCTGGTTCCAAGGGGGCACTGGAGAGATTTCAGGAGCAGATGCTCTTCCCTTCTAACACAGGGATACTCCCAGGGTGCACTGCACTCTGGGCCTGCCCCCATAGTGCATCCTAGCTGCTTGATGAAGTCCCTTGGAGGCTTGGAGTTAAACTAATCCTGCATACCAGGACCAGGGAAGGCAAAGCCCTCTCCCATGTTAATACAGTTAACTTTTTTCTCCGTGGTTCTGCATCCCTAGATCTGACCAACCATGGACAAAAAGTGTTTGAGCATAAAATAACTGTGTCTGTAGGAAGGGGAAGGAAAGGGACGGGGGGGAGGGGAAGGAAAGGGATGGGGGGCATGACATAGTGCACTTACATGCAGGCAAAACGGTCATACGCGTAAAATAAATAAATAGAAAATGTTTTTAAAACGTAGGTTACAAGTTAAAATATACATTTAGATTCTAAGTATAGATTATTGTCCTGTTTTTGAGATTCTGAAAAGTCCAGACTTACAGATGGAGAGGAGTAAGGTTAACCGTGTGTGGAGGCTCTTTTGTTATCCAAGCACTTGGGAGGCTGAGGCAGGAGGGTTGCCATAAGTTGAAGGACAGTCTGGGCTAAATAGTTCCAGGCTAGGTTGGGTTTCAGAGTGAGACTCTGGAGAGAGGGGGGGAGGGGAAGGGAGAGGAGGGAAAGAGAGAAGGGAAGGGAGTATCCCATAGAAAATATGGAAGGGAAGAAAAGGGCGATGGGAGAGGAGTCTGGCTCCAGGTCTCCATGGTGACCGGAAGCGGGTACCACAGACTCCCACCCCCATATCACTAAACTGGCAGTCAGCAGCCCATCTCTGCTCCCCATATACTTTCTCTTCCCACTCACCCCAGGGTAAGCTGCCAAGGGGTACTGATAGGATAGCTTCAGCACCCCCATTCCCTGTCTCTCACTAAGGAGAAGGAAAAACCCAGGCAGGTGCAGCAGGAGTCACAGGCCTGGTAGCCAGCACCCAGCTGTGTCAAGAAGACCGCAGCTGAGCATACTGGCCCAAAGAAGCAGGCCTGGGTGGGCTGTAGGGACAGCCAGCTGCGACTCCCTGCCTGAGGTGGGGAAGCACAAGTTGACCTCCCAGGCTGCGGCTGTCCTTGCCAGGGTGGAGTCAGGCCTTACAGCCCTGGCCTGAGCACCGAGCATTACTTTCCTTCTGTTCCCACAAGGCGAGGCGTGATGATATGGCCATGGTGATGCAGAACTGCGGTACAGGCAATGAGATGAGGTGGTATTCCTCAGGCTGGCACGGAATGAGGCTTTACAGACACACGGAGCACATGAGATGGGACACAGTCCTGATATACTGACATGGCAGAGAGAGAAGAGACAGTTTAGAACCCAGGTCAGCTTTGCTCCGGCCACCATGAACTATGCCACCCGGGGATGAGACAATGACGACGCTGTCCTGTGTCTGCAATAGACAGACATTTGTTCCAAGGAAGTCCTGGTCAGTGAGGAGGCCGCCCTGAAACCCCTCCTCCCGTCCTCTTACTGTAACTTTGTATCGCAGTAGAACACAGAGTGGTGCGTGTGGCTCAGAGGCAACTCTTACCAAAGCCTGGAGACCAAGATTTTAAAATGATGATTTTGCTGATAAGAAGTTCCAGAAGAATCTAATCAATGAGATGAGAAGAGCTTTGGGCTGGGGGAACTTTCTAGAAGGCATGGAGCTGACCCAAGTGTGTCTCCTGTGAAATCCTTCCCCCGGGGCCTTTAAGGTGGGGCACGTGGCTGTCGGAAACCAGACCTCAGTTCTGCTGGTGGGAGTATAAATTAGTGAAGCTGCTGTGGAAATGAGTTGGGGTTCCTCAAGAGACAGAATAGAGTGACCTATGCTCTGGTGATACTCCTCCTGGGGTACGCCTGAGGACTTGAATGAACAGGCCAGGAGCTCTTGCACACCCATGTTTACTGCTGCACCATAGTCAGGAATGGGAAGAGCCCGAGGACTTTCACCAGAGGAGTGGATGGAGGAGATGTGGTGCAAACACAGAGTATTATTCAGCCGTGAAGAAGGACAAGTTGTCATAGTTCTCAGAAATGAACTTATTAAGCAAAATAAGGAAGCCCTAGAAAGACAGATATAACGTATTTTCTCTATTTGTGGATCCTAGGTTTTGTATTGATACATAAAATCATATATGCGTACAGGGCATGACAATAGAAGGGAGACTGGGGTGATTGGAATAATGGGAGTATGGGAGAAAGGGAGGGGGAGGGGAATAGGGTTGAAGTCCCTGATATCCTAGTGTAAAAATGCCTTCATGAAACACACCTTACACACAATAAATACATTCCGACAAATAAACAGAATGTGGCCGGGCCCCTGAGACCTCCTGGTCATTGTCCACTCAAGGGAACCACATCCTAACTCCTGACCCCAGGGCACAAGGGCTTCTTACTCTAAGGGCTGGATCCCACAGTAGGCACAGGTGGACACCTGGCTCCCAGGTGCCCTGTTCTGGAGAAAGGATTTCATTGTTAAACTGAGAGTCTCAGCCAATATCCATCACTTTGGGATCAGAATGCTCACTCTCTTCTGGAAAACAAGAAATTTCACACACACATAAACACACATAGCACACATACATGTTCACACATGTTCACACATGTGCAGTCACTTAGAAGACCACAGAGCACACACAGTTAACAGTGAGGGGAAAGCTCAGAGCCTGCTCAAGGGCATGTAAGCTTCATAAGCAGCTTTCTCGAGTTGAGCTTACACACCTTGACACTCATCCTCCTGTGTATGCAATGACACAATTTTTTTTTTCTTTTTTGCAGTGCTGAGTGTGGAATCCGCACATTCTGATCATTTTTAATGAATTTTTTGGATTGTACAGCTTTTGCAACAATCTAGCTCTAGAACATTCTCATGTCCCTTTACATCAGGAGCTATCTCCACACTCAGCCCCTAATAGCCTCAGATCTGCTTGCTATTCATAGGTTAGTGTGTTGGGTAGCGTTAGTTGTCAACTTGACACAGCTGGTTAGAGGGAGCCTCAAATGGGGAATTTCCTCCTTTGGATTGGCCTGTGGCCATGTCTGTGGGGTATTTTCTTGATTATTGAGTGATATGGGAGGGCTCAGCCCACTGTGGATGGTGCCATCCCTGGGCAGGTGGGCCTGTGTTGTATAAGAAAGACTGAGCACAGGGCTAGGGGAGCAAGCCAGTAAGCCACATTCCTCCATGGCCTGCGCTCCAAGTTCCTGCCCTGAGTTCCTGCCTTGACTTCCCTTAGATGGGCTATGAACTGTAAGCCAAACAAACCCCTTTGTTCCCCAAGCTGGTTTTGGTCAGTTTATCACAACAATAGAAAGCTAACCAGAGTAGTTAGCTTCGCTGACAGGGGCTACAAGAGGGATTCGGCCATCTCCTAGTTCTGACGTCCACTTCCTGCACTGGTGCATACCCACTGCCTCCTTGCTGTCCTGCATTTGGGCATTTCACTCCTGTCTGAGATGAGGGGTGTCCATCCCACGGACAGACCACTTGCCCTTTATCCACGTGTCATTTGAAGGGTGTCCAGGTTGACATCACAAGGGACCATGATAAAGAACGCTGCCTTGAGAAAACTTCCAAACCACTGTACAAAATGGCCACACTCAGTTCTTCCCCTTCCTGGGTCGGTGCATTGTTCCCAAGTGTCCCACTGAATGAAGCGTGCTCATCTTCCTGTGTAAAGTGTGAGGTGGCTGTGGATCCACAATGGCCTGGGTATGCTCCTGGGAGCTCAAGTGTGGGAGGCACCAACCTCCATGAGATAAAGGTGGTTGGTCCTTTTAAGAGGCAGAGTCTAGAGGGAGCAAGTTAGGTCTTGGGCATGCATCCTGGGAAGGAACTAAAGTGGTTCTCCTGGGAACCAGGTCAGTTTGCTGGAAGGTCATGACATAGGAGCAAGCTGGGTCCTCCCCACTCTCCCTGGCCTCCCATTCTGGTATGTGAGCTCTCCCTCCCCGACAGGCCCTGCCATCATGGTGTCAATGTCCTCTCTAAAGCCACAAAAACGCCAGCCTCAGGCTCTGGAACTTCCAGAACTGTGAGCCTAACAAACTTCAGGTCTCAATTACTAACCAGCCTCTGGTATTTTATTAAAGCTAGGGAACATGGATTGGTACTATACAACATGGCACAAGAGAAAGCTGTCCAAAATGGACAGAAAGCAAGGGGCTAGGGATGTGGCTCAGTGGTAGACCACTGGCCTGGCACATACGAGGCCCTGGGTTCAACCTCCAGCACAACCAAAGAAAAGGGCAGATCACGGAACTCTCGAGAAACCAAGAGGAAGAAACTGCACAAAGATCTTTGCAGGGGTGCCTCGGGGGAGGAACTAAGTTCCTTTCTCCCTCCTGCTGGGCTAGGCCCTCAGAACCCTAGCCCTTCTGACTCCTCCCAGTCTTCCGTGGGAGATGTTCCCACCCATCCCCCCACCATCAGAGTCATCATCTGTCAGAAGGGAACTTCCTACAGCCCAAGTGGCTGGACAGATCTACCTGAGGACACATGTCCTCCCAGTCTTCCGTGGGAGATGTTCCCACCCATCCCCCCACCATCAGAGTCATCATCTGTCAGAAGGGAACTTCCTACAGCCCAAGTGGCTGGACAGGTCTACCTGAGGACACATGTTGATCCATGAGGACACAGTTGGGTGCCACCGGCGAGGCAGAGCACTAGGGGACCCCAGCCTCTCCTGGCAATCTGTCATTAGCATGTTTCCCAACTCTGTACCCAGCAACACCCATGAGTAGGCTGAGCTCAGCCTCAGGACGACGTCTGCACCCCAGATACCGGGAGCTTCGAGCTACAGGGCTTGGGTGCAGAGAGCTGGCTACCCAGCAGTTGCCACTTCACCACCGGGCTCCCAACCGTCCAAGGAGAAGAGCTGACTTAGAGTCAAGAAGGGAAAATCGGACCCAATGAAGCCACATGCCAGAGGGTGGGAAACATCCACACTCAGCAGATACAGCAGCCAGGGCTTAGCTTATGGGAAACCAGCGCACAAACACCCATGGAGATGGCATGAGGCGCTCCCCCACTCCTCTACCCAGCCCACTGGGAGACATGGGAGACGCTCCGCTCCGAGTGACTCACAGGCTCTGAACTGAGGAGCTGAGCCATGGTTATGAATAGGCCTGACATGACATGGCTGTCTTGGCATCTGTCCCCTGCCCCAGCCCAGGCCTGGCCAAGGCTGTGTGCTGAGATCACCCTGAGCTCCAGGCAAGCTGGCTGTGAAAGGTCTGGCTGTCAGTGCTCCCCCAGGCCTCAGCAGGCAGGGGCCACTTTTGGACGAGCTCAGGGTAGGACCTGGCTTGCCTCATTCTGCCCCTCTCAGGCTCCAGGCCAGCCCCACTGACCCACGGCCAGGAACACATCCTACTGAAAGGCTCTGTCACACCTTAATTTAAGCTCTTGTTCTTACCCTCCCTTCCCTTCCAGGCCTGACCCACACCTGCTGTCAGCTGCCAGTTTAAGCTCCTGACCCAAGATTCCTGCACCCTGTCCAGCCTCCACCCCTCCTAGGGGCTGCTGAGAGGAGTCACAACCCCTAAAACCATGGGTGACCGAGAACATTTCCCATGTGTTCAGGCCGGACCCGAATGTCCCATCCCCCTGGGTCCTCTGAGCTTCTTGTTACCACATAGTATGCAGGCTCCACAAAGCAGCCAGACCTCTGCTGAGTTTAAATAAATACATACCCAGGTCTTGAAGGTGCCCAGAGGGCCCCACATGAGCACCTGCCAATCAGCTCCCTCCTACGTCTTAAAGACAGTCCTACTAATTCCTGGGTACAAACTTCTAGGCACATTTCCACCTCGGGGCATTTGCACATGCTGTTCCCTTTGCCTCAAATGCCCTTCCACTTGCAAACTCACGCCTTCGCCTCCCTAAGCTCAATAAAGTCACATTCTCAATGAAATCACAGCATAGCCCAAGTCCACTCTATCCCTGTGAAGGCCAGATTTCCCACTGGTTCCGGGTGGGAGGAGCTCTGAGCCTCAGTTTCCCTAGTGTAAAGGGAAAGGACCCACATCTGAAGCAGGTTCCTGATCCCTACAATTCAGGTCTCACGGTCAGTTGACTGGATGGCCACAGTTGGCCTGGAGACCCACCCTGGGCACTAGAGGCTCCTACAACAGTGATGGACAACTGAGTTTGTACATAGCACTGACACCTCCACAGTGAAACCACCCCCAATTCTTGCCAGACCTGGAATTTAATTACGTTAAGATCTGCATCACATAGTTAATCATGTTAGTGCCTCATGACTGGTATCACTTGCCCTCAGAGCTGACAGCTGC